AAAAGTATTCTGCTGCACGTGCTTGACACAGTCTCACATCCTCGTTCACCGCTATGGCCTGGTTTGGTCCCAGCCGGCTGGAACCAGTCTGATGCATAGGCAAGTTGAACTATGCGCGGCTTGTGACAACAGCGCCGAGCGCTGGTCCTCCGGGCAGAGCTGCAGAATTTGAACACGCCGCCGGTGCCCGGCCTGGTTCGCCCAATGCGAGGCTCTGGCGCCGCGGGACTCGGGATGACCCGCTGTTGCGGCGTAGTGTCCAACGGAGTTTTGTTCCGCTGGTGACACAGAGCGGCACGGCACGTTACTATCCCGAAGTCGCAGCGATGTGGGGCACCAGTATGTGGTCAGCTTTGCATGTATTATAGGTCAGTCGGGGCTGGCTCAGGGTTTGCTTTCCTCCAGGCGAGGCCTTTCTTCGTTAGCGTCAGGCGACCGTCCTCTGTGGCTGGCTCTGGGAGATGTGGAAGCCCAGCCACGAATTCCAAGCACCTTGGCTGCTGCTGTAATTTCATGGCCAGTGGTATACCCAAGTGTTATCTGAATAATTTATACTCTTCGCGTCGTGGATGAGATCGTCAACATGTTTCCAGTTGAAGTGTTGTGATGAGTTTATTATAATGAGACCTTTCACTCGCGTCCCACCTATTCATTCCCAACCCTCTGAAAAAAGAAAGTGCCATACTGGGGAGATTAAACTCATTTCCGACATTCAGAACACCACACCTTTGTTTTGATTTAGTGGTGTTTCCTTTGGTTATGGTGCACAGCTAATTTAGATATTTAAATTTGGCTTGTGGCTCTTTCTTGACCTCATGTCTATACGTCTATATGTCTTAATGTAGAGTAAGCCCGCCAAAACTTTGATGAAGTTCGTAGGATCACACAGACGTCTCACAAGGACGGGGAAATATCACTCGAAAGATATCATTCTAAGCTCACTTTTTCCATCGCATAAGTGTTTGCACGCACACTGGGCTGACAAACTGTCAACGCTGAGGGTGTCACGCATCGCCCGGGAAGACAGGCAATGTGCCCGTCACGTTTGATGGACCACACTCCTGACAATCAATGACCGACTTATGGCAGCGCTCGCTCCATCACCCTTGCACCGAAGCGCCGCCAACAGCTCTGTCCGAGATCGGTCACGTGACTATTCCGGCACCGCTCAGGAAGCTGATTATTTCGTCTGGAAGGCTGCGGCTAAGGCCAAACGAGCCGCGGCCAGAGCCGTTGTCTCACACGAACGAACGCCAAGCACACCGTACCGCGTTTGGGCCGCTTTGAATGGAATGTCGCGATTCATAGGCTGACAAAAACAATGGGCATTGTCTTTAAGGCTTGAGGACGAATACTTTTTTGTTGTTGTTGTTGAGTGGTGTGTGAAATCGCCTAGCATCTCGCATCATCAGGTATGTGTTCAGAATTATGTTTAGTCTGGACAAAGTTTTGGAGAGAGTGAACAGGAGAAGTGACTGACATCACGGAAAACCATCTTCCAGGGACGATGAACGCCAATTCTTCTGCTGGTGATGGCTGACAAAGATGGGTATTTTTTGGCAAAAGTGTCATGCCTTTCTCTTTTAATTAAGCTGCAGTAATGCTTTCAACGCTCCTCGTCTAAGTGGACGTTATCGCAACATATCAACATGTCGTCGGAGCAGTTAGTGGCCTGCTTACATGAGCAAGGCATTACGTTTGATTGCGAGCTTTACATCGAAGAGTATGTCATCAGTTATGGCGGTCTCTTTTTTGTCCCCAAAAATATGTCATGGGTACAATGTAAAGTACACTAACAAACGAATGCAATTTGTGATGTGGTATGCTGTTTTCATTTAGAAGCATCTTATGCAATTTAATCGGTGCCGAAATGCACAAGACATCATTTTAATGACTTAGCACGCGCCCGGGTGGTCGGCTAAACACCCTTCGCTCGGGTGGGGTTAATTTAAGCCCCCTGATATCTCGGAAACTAAGAAGGCTAAAGACACTAAATTTACAGGGTGTAATGACCTGTGCGTGAACTCACTTAGATCAAAAGTTTGAGTTCCCCAGGTCACGACCTTCGGATCAAATAAGGTCAAGGCCAAATGCCAGGCTGGTCTTCAAAATGCCCCTAGAACATAAATAACTCTCTAAGCAAAAGGTAACATACCCATTTAAGGTCAGGGACCTTTTTTGACCTTTGAAATGTCGTGGTTACCAAAATCATACAAGACTGCTCTGAGTTTTGCGGTTGAATAAGCGACAAAGATTACGTTAAGCAGTATGTTTCTAAAAGCAAAATGTTGACCTCGATCATTTTAGGTCAATGGTCTATTCTGACCTCTAAGATGTCCATGGAAAATGTATGATGCGGTTCCTGCTATCAATAAATTTGAAATGAGCACCAGAAGCTATCCCATACAGCAAGCCCTAGAGTAACAAGGCAACTTGGCTTTGAACTTGGTCTAGCCTTCATTCCTGACCTTGGTTCAACGTAATTTACTTATTCAATATTTGTGCGGCCTAAGAAAGCATCTCAGAGATGTATGGCTCTGTCACACATTCCGTTGTTGCATCAGATTGAACGATTCCCTAGAAGTTGACTTCGCTGAAACCATGGTCTGACTTTGACCTGCCGTAGGTCAGCGAAGTTGCAATAAATATATAAATTTTTGATGTCAAACGATTTATCACTCAATTATCTACAGTTGTGTAAAATATGGCGTGGCTACGCCGCACCGTTCAGAAACCATTCCGGAAAACATTCGAGGGGGGGGGTCAATTTGACCCCCACCCGGTCACGAGTTAATCCTTCAAACAGGAAGCGAAGACGTGTGTTGTTGCCAAAACAGCCTGTGCATGCATGCGTTTGTGTTCTACATGCACCATACTTTTGAAAACCAAATGAAGACGCGTTCCCGTTGTGCTGAGGCACGCCATGGCAATCAGATAATTGACAGCTGTCATTATCTTGCAAACAACATCAGTCATCGACGTGCACGAGTGTTTCGATTTTGCGACGAATGATGTCAAATCGCTGTGCCATTAGCTTTAGGGCAATGGCTAGTCTAATTCAAATGGAGAGCACTCAGATCTTATACAGATCCACAAGCAATGCATGCGCGTAAGCGTTTCCAATCTGCATGATTCAAAAATCATAACATTGACGTCTAATCTAGCACGCAAATTGTCAATTTTCAGAGACCAAGCTGAATGTATGTCCATATTTGCAGTCAGGTTGTAGTGGAAGTGAAATATATCACACACCCGTGGCTGCAAATTCATGTCATTGTTGCTCACCCCGGCATTGTACTCACGTCGAAACTGTTAGGCCCCTTCGCGCAAGCCAGTGTTGGAAGTCGTGACCCAGCTGCGTCACGCAGGCCTCGTGACCCCGATAAGACGGAGGCCTTACCCCACACGACAGAGGGGGCTGCGTGACCTGCGTGCCCTGTGACGGACCTGTCGCCCCAAGGCTTCCGGCTCAGTATCCGCCTTCACGACAGCGCGACAACCGAGGACGCTGTTCACTATGGCACGCTGCAGCGAAAGGAAGCTCACTTGGGCTGGTCCGGGTGATGAACAACAGAACACGGGGCCTACGCACCACGCTGCCAGGGACGTGCATTATTTCGACCTTGAGTCCATACATTTATTTAATATTGCGTTCGTGCCTCCCACCATGTAGAATTTGTTCCGTCATAGCATTTTCTTCATCCATTATCAGCTGAAAAGCTCGTGGCGGGCAGCACTAAGATCGGTGAATATAAGGAGGTGGACATGACGTCATAAAAGCAATGTCGAGTGTGCACGTGCACGCATATGGAGAGTCGTAGCGGCTGCACGCGGCGCTTCCGGGCCGACTTGACAAGAAGCTTCCGCTCAGGTCACCATCAGGCGAGTGATGGCTGCCGGGCTCGGTCACGAGTTCAAGAGATCCCCTAGGCGCTGACCTGAGAGCCTGCGGCGCGGTGACTAGCTGTTCGCGCCGATGCTTGCCTGGATTCCGGAAGTTGCGATGGCTGTTCCTGTGAATGTGTAGGTGTGCATGCAGATGTGGTATGGCTGTACGCATGTATCGTTATGGCTATCTCGCAAAGGTAAGAGTACTGAAGCTATCTTTTTACTGACTATTGCTGGGCCAGTTGATGTCTGCGCTTTGTGGCCGCTTTATTCATCTGCAAACAGCTACGACCTGTTCTTTGAGCTATCCCAGCCAGAAAAGTCCGAGTGACCCATCTGAACAGCGTACAGCTACGCTACTGGCGTACACAGAGCATGGCGACTCCCTGGCGTCACGTCTACGGCTCTTCTACACATCCGTGACTACATAAAGATCGCGACGATTTGGAGCTTGTAATAGCCAGCAACAGGTCGATTACAATCGCAAAGTTAAGCCTCTTTGATAATGTCCAAGAGTGTTGCACTAACCGCATTGTTTGCAGTTTTGTTCGAGTAAAAGCTTGCTGTTATCAGCAATGGCTAAGCACGCTATTGACTTTGTATTAGCACAGACACCACGATATTGCTGGCGATAATGTTACGATCATTGTTTATTTGTGAGTGCGTGCCATATTGATGTGGAACAATTATGCTCCGTTCGCTGCGCGAAGTACAAAACATTGCAATACCTTGATACCTGAAACAACCGTGGCACATACGATCACCAAAATATCATGAGTATCTCATTATTTTCGTGGAAAACTCGTCTCGACCCAACTTTGGCTGGACACATGTATCCACCTAATTACCTATAGGCAGTGTGGCCAAGACAGAAATATTAGCTGTCAACAGCAAAGTTTTCAACAGTAAACGTGGTAACGTGACTACAAACACCTCGGATTTTCTCACTCGCTGCCATTTCACTCCCCTTGACATTCACGAGCCGGCTCAGACAGCTGTTCCGTCCCGCTGAGGCCCTCCCCCGCCGCGCCGCTCCCCCAGCTCTCGGTGCCTCCTCACCGGTCGATGACGTCACTGCCGGTGACGTCAGACCGACGGCGGCGGGCCGGCGCAGCCTTGGCGACCAGTCGGCGCGCGTCCAACGACGAGGCAGGTCATGAGCGGCGCACTGAGCGCCGTTGACCGCGAGCGAGCCGCGCACGAGACGTGAGCGTACCGTGAACGCGCCGTGAGTGAGCCGTGAGTGTGCCGTGAGTGTTCCGTGAGTGGACCGTGGGCGGGCGAGGTCCTGCGCCGGCCGGGGCCGGCCGTGACGTTGCGGCGATGAGTGTGCGCGATGCGAATCGGCGAGGGCTCGTCTGGCTGAGTGTGTGGTCTTTCCTGCTGGCCGGGGATGTAGCGCAAGGTGAGGAAGGGGGAGTTCGATGCGGGCGGCAGCTGGGGCCACACTTGACACGCCAGGTGCGGGCGGTCCCGACCGCGCCTGACGGTGGTGACTGATTTTCGTGATCCTTGGCTTGCATGTGCACCCGCAGACAGGAGCGTGGTGTACAGGAACACGGCAGGCAGGAACACCGGTCCCGACTCAATGCAGTGTTCTCGTGCTTTTCGTGAGAAAGCAGGGTGCCGGTACTACAGAATGTGCCACAGATGTTGACTTCCTCTACGGCGCCTTGCGTCAGCGAAAAACGAAAGCCTGGCTTTTCTCGGGTTTTTTGCGGCACGGTGTTGGCGTCGTGAATCCCATTGTGGCTCTTCTCCGCGACACGAAAGAAAGGGTCCTGCTGGCTAGATCCAAGCATGGTCCAGGGAAAGTATTACATCACAACGCATTGCGGGCCTCATGCCACCTCATGCGTCTCCAGCGTTAGCCAAGGCGAAGGTACTCGGAGACGTTGGCCATTGGCTAACGATCTGATGCGTCCGTGTTACGATACGCCTCACGGATCCTTTCGCTGACGGCCATGGACGCACTGCGCCGCGCCCATCAGCCTTGTCGCTACCTTGGGCCTCCTGGCCAGCCGGCTCGGGCCTCCTGACGCGTCTGCAGATGGCGGTCACAGCGGAACCACAATCGGCTTATGTTGCCTCCGCGCGTTGGGAACCACAACCGTTGAAATCCGACGTTGGATGGGCTCAGAGACTGGTCGAGGTTCTTTATTCCAACGTGGTGATGTCACCATAAGAATCACAGGAGAGGTTCAGTCTTTTGGTAGCAGCTTGTTGCATGAGGATTATGAACAAACACCATCCGCCTCACGCATCGTGGTATGACTTGTCTCGTCCCTCGCGGCCGCAAGGAAGTCCACCAGCACGCCGAAGCATCAGCCGACCCGCAAATGGCACCATCACGGTTGAGTGTCTACGCCTGACGCTCTGGGCGGTGATTTCGCTTCATTAGAGGTCGTTCCGCACGTCGGAACGTCGGCACACGTGCCCTCGGGCGACAACGGGACCCGGAGCGCGCGTCGTCCCCGCGCGTCGTGCCGCCATGGTGCTGCGTTCCGCTGCGCGATTGCAGTCGCCAGGTGACTGCACAAAGTGAATCGAAGCAGGGCGCTAGCACCAAAGCCGCCAGCGCACGCTGCGCGACGAGAATCTGCTGACGCCGATTACGGCCAATGCGTCTGTGGTGCTTTGTGCCAGAAGCAGACAGTGGAAAGCGTCCTCACTTCGGTCTCTAGAGGTGTCCGTTGTGACCAGCATCATTAGTGTCAAGCCGCTTGAAAAAGTCCACAGACCCGGAACTGTAGGGTTGTTAGCTCAGCAGTTTAGGCATTCATTGTAGAGTGGACACATCATCAGCAGTCGTTCAATAAACAGAGACAACGAAAACCGGGCTTCCATTCCGCTTCCTGCCGTGATGGTCCCGTAAAAACGCGCCGGACGAGCCGGAATAACGGCGTCCATGAATCCTGCGCGGCCGCGTCAGGCCGGGGCTCCATTTGCCGCCGCAGTTACGACCACGCAGCACGCTCTCCGCTGCCCGGGCCGGCAGCCGCGTTTTTCCGTCGCCAGCTGTATGATCGGCCGCGCCCGTGCCGCCGCCGCCGCCACCACCGCCACCGGCGCCGCCGCCACCGCCGCCGCCCGCGCGCTATAAGCCGCCAGCGCGCGTCTGAATACTGGCCGATTTGGGTCAGAGAAACGAACCGTTAGCGCGCGGCCGGCCGCCGCAGGTTCCGCCGGCCGGACGGGGGCGCGCCGGCCACGGTGACCTATGCAGATGACCGTCCACCTCGAGTCCAGCCAGCCTTTCAGCCGTGGCCGCCGGCGCGGCGCCACGACACGTCGGTTGCTCCGTAATTTGGGGGCAATCTCGTCGCTGTCGGAGATGGTTTATCGACCATTGTTCCGGTGCGATCCGTGGGATCCTGTTATTGATCTTCCTCGCCGGGGAAGGCCAATTTTCTCGACCCATGGCCGGCCTGGCGCCGGTTACGGGCGGCATGGGGCCTGGGTCAGACGAAATTCTTCCCCTCGGATAAGGACGCAAAGAGGCATGCAGTTTATCCGCAACAAAAAGAAAGCCACCTGAGAGATACAGATACGTTCGGGCCTACCGATGTCTATCGATGCACGACCCAGGTAAATTGGGCGAGAAAGTCTCAACAGTCAGTTGCCAACTACCTGCGCTGTTATCCCAACCCATTGTGACCTTCTCGTATAAAGATAGAATCACCATGAAGTGGTGTCGCCTGCGAATACTGCGAAGAGCTTTATTGCTTGCATCCTACCGGTACGATCACTTATTAGCCTCTTTCCGGACCTGGCTGCACGCCAGGTCCGGCCAAGCCGGTTTCGGCGGGTGCGAGGGCTCGTGATGCTGGCAATCATGCCGTCCTACACTCGCTGGTTGGTGTCCTTATACGGCATGGGACGTGACCCGGTGGGGCGCGTGCCGGCTACATCCCGGAAGTGTGTGGACAACGCTGGTTACCGCAGTCGGAATGTGTGACGGTGCGCTGGAGTCTGCCTCCGTGCAAGGGCGCTGCCGTATGATTACTGCACCGTTTACTCTAGTTTCATGGCATCCTTGCACGTGAATATTAAGATCGAGGAGTTATCAGTTCACAGTGTCCAAGAGATCATCTCAATCGACGCTGTAAGAACGCCAGACGGTGGCCACTCACCCAGATGAAAAAGTCTCCAGGCATTTGACCTCTGTCGCGGCGGAAACCTTGCAGCAATATCGGCCAGATCTGCCCCCAGAAACCGTCTGGGACCGTTCAGCAATCTTTTCCGTGACCGACAACACTCCTCCGACCGGCGCCATGTCGCAGCAGCAGGCTGAGGGTCCGACAAAAACCGGAATTCAGCCACTTCACCCCGCGTCTGAAACCACACCGTGTGCAAGGCGTCGCCGTCCACCTGCTGGCAGTCTCAATGAGACGGCGTTCATCGTGCGTTTGGTTTAGCATCATGTTGGTGTAAGGGTGGTGCTCTTTGCCGCAGTTTCTATGCATGGGTGTGTTGTTCACACGGTTTCCTGCTGGGGAGACGTCGCCTTACGAGCAGGGTCGACAGCCCTCCAACCTCTCGTAAGACAGAGTCGGCGAGCATATTATTTTGTTCACTATGAATTTTTTTGGAAGGCTCCAAAACCTATGGCGTGTCTGCTGTACTATTTGGTCAGCGGCGGTGACGCGGTCAGGAAATCCAGCCATGACCACCAACGTGATGTAATCATCGGGAGCAGGCACCAGCTATGAAGGATCGGGTGTGGTCCGGAGTGATCGTGTCACAGGAGGCCTCTGTCACGAATGAAAGAAGGCCTCGATCATGTTGGGACCTTGGGAAAAAGGAATTCCAACCCAGTGCAGCAGACATATTAGTCATAGAGCTAAATTGTATGGTTTCAAGGGCTCTTCAGCGGAATGACCTTGCTCCGACTAAAAGAAGGTCCAAATGATGTTGATTGCAGATCCACGTAGGGTAAGGGACGAGACCGTAATAACGTGAGGGTTTTGAGTGATGGAGAACCAAGATACGGCAGGGTGTCCCACCTCCTAATACTGAGTCCTTGTTGCGTTATGATTTCTCCTGTACTGCAGGACTGTTGGGTGGCTGATATCCGCGTTACTGCAGGGCACCCTCATGATAGCGGATATCGTTCTAATTGGTAAGGCAGGGAGTTGGCTCTCTTTGGGCTAACAGCAGGCCCTCTTTTGACTAACTGGAAGGTTTCCTCCCATGATTGGGAGCAGGTATCTGCCGCCGCTGTCGCAGCCTTGTTCTGATCGAGGGAAAGCCCGGTCATAGAGGGTATCTCTATACTCACATGGATACATACCTTATATAGACATATTTCATATCTATGTGAGATGGTTTTGTGGGGCTATATAGACACTGGTACCGTGGGATCTTACCCGTGCTTCAGAGCGTTTTCACATTCGTCCCCAAGGCGGGAATACAGCATTCACCTGTACTATAGATAAGTGATTGATAACTTTGTATGTTAGAAAAGTGGCTAAATTCACCGTTTTTGGTGTTTCTTACAAATTGGCAACGCCACAGCGCTAAAAAAAAGTACCACGCACATGCGTCTCAAAAATGTGATATCATGACATTCTATACGGGATATTCATGCTCAGATATATCCGTCCCTTGAGGTCTTCCACGACCCCCCCCCCTCCCTCCCCACCCTCTTTTGGTATATTGGTCTAGCAAAAATTATTCAGCGGAGACCATGCAAAGCATGTCTGTTCACCCACCGATAGGTTCGTGACGTCACCTATGGTTTACCGTCCTTGGGCCCGTCCCGTTATAGGCTTGCCACGGCTTTCCGAGCCCATCGCATTGCTTCTGGCCAGGCAGCAGTCAGTCACGTGACCACCCGTTGCCGGACGCCGGACCGTCGTCATGGCTACCTGGCGTGCAGCAAGGGCACATGCGCCCTGTTCCGCTTCGGCTGCCGTGCCCCAGTTGCACGCGCCGCCGCCGGGAAGGCCCGCGGCCGCCGCCGACTGCCCGGAAGTCCACCGCCGGTCACGTGGTCTGGAAACGCGGGAAACGGCGGGTTGTTCCGGCTGGCCGCGCCCGAGGCCTTCATTGTCTCATGCCTTGGCTTGACTGGACTTCGTCAGACCGATAGGCGGTGCTTGCATTCCAGCGGATGGTTTCTAGGCCAGGATCACATGCGGGTTTGTTGACTGTGGGGCTTGGCGGTGCCAACTCGAGGGCCAGGCAAGCCTCAGTGAATGGAAGTTATCCAGATTCAACGCTTATCATCTGTTGTCGGTCGCTCTGATTGTACGGACGTACATCCTTTGTCAGCCTGAAGATGTGCTCCGGTCAGTCTTACAATCCACTGCGATCAAGACGCCAACAAATTAGCTGCACTGCAAGGTGCCAGATCTAATACATTCACCGAACGGTTTTTAGTGCGCCAAGTGCTGCTCATTG